CGCTGGACGACCACCACGGAAAGTGGAGCGGCATCGTCGGCGCGTCCTCGAACGAAGCGACCGCCTCCGCCCAGAACAAGATGGAGATCTCGCGCTCGTTCTGGACGTTCTGGCGCTGCGGCTTCGCGGCCCACATCGTGTCTGACGCGCGCCAGCCGTCGTCCGCCCTGAATATGTAGATGTGGGCCATCTGCTGGTCTTTGCTCGCGTGGCTCCACCGACTTCCAGAGCCATCCACCTCCGACCTCAAGCAACGTGTTGAAGTACATGCCTGCAGCCGTTTGAACGGACCACAGCACGTCGTCCGAACATTGCTGCAAGAACTCGCTGATGCTGAGCTCGTCCGTCGTCAAGCACAGCGTCGCGTGGCGGAACGGGTTGAACTCCATCGCGCCCGCCTGCTCGGCGATCGTCGCCACATGTGCGAGGGCGGGATCGTCCTGCACTGCAGCCGTCAGCCGCAACCGCGTCGGCGGTGGGCCGTCGGGCTGCGTGGGCCCCCTCGCCGTCTTCCTCTCCGCGAGGAGGTCCTTGCGGAACAGCTCCGCCATGGCGGACGCGCGCCACTGGCGCGAAGGCGCGGCTGGCGCGAAGGCGCGGCTGGCGCGAAGGCGCGGCTGGCCCGGCGGCGCGGCCAGCGCGAAGGCAAAACGCCTCCAGCCAAAACGGTTGCCACGGAGGATGTTTGGAGAAGGAGGTGTGGAGGAGGAGGTGTGGCGTGGATGTCGTGCGTAGGATGGCGAACCTCTTGGCCAATGAAGGCCTGTCTTGGGCGGCGCTGGCCGCGTGGCGTTTCTGGCACCTGGGGCCCCAATGAGATCACGCAGTTAACTGCCAAATGAAACCGCGACGGAAGCTGGCGTGCGATAGGGAGCTCTAGTGGGCCTCGGGGCATATCCCATATCCACGACCTGTGACATGCCATCATGCTTAAAGCGTTGTGACCTACCATTGGCGACGACACATCGAGGGGGGGGGGGCGGGGGGGCGCCCCATGAGACGAGCGAGAGAGGCCACGGAGCCAGGAGAAGGAAGAGGGAAGGGGGGCAAGGAGAACGACGACCTACATGGACTGAGTCTGTTTGAACTATGTGATCTTGAGATTCTGGGTTGGGGTTTGAGGCTGGACATGGTCTAAACGTGCAGAGCATAGCATTGCATCGCACCACGAGCATAACATAACAACCTGAGATTTGCGCCAGAATATTGGCATGCCATAGCACAGCGCACGGCGCGCCCCCTTCGATTTCGACCCCTTCGGTTCGGGAATCAGCCTCCTCCCCCCCCCCGTCCGGCTTCCTCCTCCTCCTCCTGCTCCTCTTCCTCCTCCTCCTCCCCCCCCCCTCCTCCTCCTTATCCTCCTCCTCATCTTCCTCTTTCTCCTCGTCCAAAGCGGCCGATGTTACTGCCATGGGGCACCGTAGTAACATTCCTCCCCCATCCTCATCCTCCTTCTCCTTCTTCTCCTCCTCCTCCTCCTCTTCCCCCCCGTCCAAGGCGGCCGATGTTACTACCATGGGGCGCCGTAGTAGCATCCCTCCTCCATCTCCTTCTCCTCCTCTTCCTCCTTCTCCTCCTCCCTCCCCCCCCCGTCCCCCTCCCCATCCCTCCCTGCCTCCCTCCACAATTTCCCAAGATGAATACTATTCTACTCTCCCCCCTGAATCCTCACCTTCCTCATCCCCCATCCCCCTCATCATTCGCAACTATATTAAGATCACAACGCGAGACCACAAGATCAGCACAATGAACTCGCGCTCACCCCGAGCGCAAATAGCACCATGGTGGCTACGGGCGAACGCATGGCACATCGTGAAATAGCCGTTGAGGCTCATGAGCTGTGGATTATGCTCGCTGCCGCGGCATGTTTTCGCCGTTGCGCGCATATTCATGGGCGACAACCGCCCTCGAAGATACCCACAGCGTCGACAGCAGCACACGGCAACGATCACAGCTGCACCATGCAGCTTACGAAGCCGATCTCGAACTGCGGCTGGCCGATGACGACGAGCTCGAGCCTGAGCCGCCACCTGCAGGGGGGGCTGTGTCCGTCGCCTCCACGACGTCGGGGAGAGCCGACAACTTCTGCAGGCGCCCGAGGCTAGTCGGCTTGGTCTGCGTCGACGTGCCCTCAGTCAAGGTGTATACCTGCCTGACGTCATCGAAGATCTTGCGAACGTGCTTATTGGTCTCTACCTTGTTAGCGATCACCTTCGCGAATCGCTCAAGCGCATCTGCGCGCTCTTTGCGAGCGTTGCGGCTGGTTTTCATGTCCTTCAGCTGCTGCTTCAGCGCGGCCTTGCTGTCCTGGAGGGCCTTGGGAGCCATCGCGCGATGGCTGATGAAACGGGCGAAACGCGCAACCGCGGGGGGGGGGGGGGCCTCTGAAGCAGAACGGCTGAATTACAATGGTAGCCCCCGACCCCAAGCCCCGAACGGACACGCATCAACACAGCCAATCGGCTTGATGAGCAATGACTGTTTTTCACACTCGGTGAGCGAAGTGCTAAGCCCGCAGACCCCAATCATGCGGGCGCTGTCAGCCTCCAGGCTTAGTGTATGTATATACACTTGCGTCATTAGTCATGGGACTGCTCGGGAAGCTCAGCATGGCAAGGCTCAGCGCCCGAATTATGAAGCTCGGCGTCCGAATCGGGAAGCTCACCAGCCGCATCGGGTGGCTCATCATCCGCATCGGGGAGCCCACCATCGGGAGGCTGCGGCTGCGTGAGGAACCGTACCGCATCCTCAGCCGTCTTGCATTTCTTGTTGCCGCAGCCGTTCAGGCCATTGCTCCTTGGGAACTTTGCAAGTGCATAGCCGTTCCTGTGGTGGACACCCTTAGGCAGATCAGGCAATCGATCTCGCTTCTGCGGCTCGTCGAACCCAAGTGTCCTCGCAATGTGAATTGCCGCAGCCAAAGACTCGGGCTGGTACGCGACGAAGAGGTTGCCACACCGATGAATTGGCCTCAGAACATCAATGTGAACATCCCTATCGTGCACTACCACCTTGAGGCACATGACACCAGGACCACGCCTCATGTCAGCCTTCTCGGCGTGGGTCCTCGCCAGCTTTGTTTGCTTCGGTGGTGCTTTGAATAGGGAGGCCTTTGCCTGGGTTTGCTCCTGCTTGGGCTCGTCCGACTGCTTCTCATTCCGCTGGGCGATCAAAGGCTTCAGCCCCCTGCTCAGAACCGCTGCCTGCTGCTCCAGCCCACGCGGGAGGTCATCGTTCTTATAAGCCAGAAGGCTGTTCAGTGTATACTGCGCAGGTGAGATTCGGACAAAAGTACCATCGCCGACAGTAGCCATATCACATGGCTTGTGAATCCGCCAAACTGGCTTTATCCCCTCCAGCTTGACGGTGCGAGAAAGTTCAAGCGTTGCTTTCTGCATTATGCTAACAGCAAATCGTGATGCTAATCCCTGGTCGTTTGAGCCCAACGGCTGAGGTTCGATTGCACCCTAGAAAGGTGACGCGACGTGGACGACGTCATTAGGAGGGGGTGAGGTGGGGGGCCGCCCCATGAGATGAGCGAGAGAGGCCACGGAGCCAGGAGAAGGAGTAGGGAGGGGGTGATGAGAACGACGGCAGATGCGACTGACACTTAGGCTCATCTGCACCGCATGGCGCATCAACTCGTTGGCATGGACAGTCCCCGAACGCTCGGGAGCAGGCCAACAAGGGCCACAAAGACCTGCATAAGCATGGCATGGCAGAGCATACCGGGAGCACTGCAGGGTGAACCCAAGAGGGCCGCTCGCATGGCATCGCATAGCATGTCAGTTGCCACCCGATGCCATTCGTTCCGCGGTTGGCTGTCTTCGCATGCCCCCTTGCAATATATTCATGGCGGCCTCGCCGAAGCGAGAATGCACCCTATATTCTCGCGTTGTCGTTCTCTCGTTCTCTCTGTGCCATCCCCATCATCATCACCCCTCCTCGCACACTGGTGGAAACAGCCGACCTTTTTTGGCTGTTTGTTTGACCTGACCCCCCCCCCCCTTTCCCCCCTCTTGCGCGCCCTCGTTCGGCGCCGCCCTAAACACAAAGACGCGGCTAAGGGACGACATGACCAATGGGGGCAACGGTGGGAGCTCACGGGTTTGAGGGAATGTATGATGCGGACGGTTGCATGCCAAAGGACTGTGGGCGACCAGTCAGGATCATATTAGCAAGTGATGACCTCCCGCCGCATCTCGCTCCACACTCGCCATGTTTTTCTCTGTCGGTGCAAGGGCGATTGTCCACAAAGACTGCGTCAACTTCCTGATAAGCGCATGGCTGGTAAACCCGTTCGCACGCAAAAGAGATGTGTCCGACATCAAAGCTTCGTGCTAGCCGACGGGGCAACAGCTCGACCTCCACCCTCATCCTCGCTCCTCCTTACTCTCCCCTGCTACTGCGCGGCAGCATATGACTATAGCGCTGCAGAGTGCAGGGATGCTCTGGACTAGAACTCGGGAGCTTACAAAAGTGCGATGCAAAACACACCCCTCTGTAGACTAGCACCCGTGGCTGATGGATGCTGTTCAAGCCCTCTTCTGCTTCTTGACGGCCTGCTCATGGATTGGCAACTCCTTAGCCTTGGGCTTGACGAGCATCTGGAGCTTCACATTGGGCCCGATGTCGGTATTGTTGGTCAGCACTGGCAACATTAAGCCACCGTGTGACACGTGGCTCGTAGCCATGTTGGCGCGACCCACCAGTGTGCAGCCACCAATGCGGCTTCATCGAATTGGGTGCTGGTGTCATTGTCTTGCGGCTTAGATACAGGCAGCGCGAAAAAAATGAACCTTGGTGTCTTTGTCAATCGCATACTCGCCAAGTGAAATGCCAGACCCATTGTTCTTCGCACTTATGTTGATGAGTGGTACCACTGGGACCAAAGTAAGCTGGCCCTGCTTGATCGCGCTAGTAGTCCACACCCCATCTGGCTTCCGCCAGAACGTCAGCTGATGCTTGCCCACGTGCTTGGCATCTAGCTCAAGGAGAGCTCAGTACAACGCAGCCTTCTGCTTGTCGATGTACAGCTGCTGCGGGCGCTGCTGATCACCATCCATCTGTTTTGACAGTGCAGCCTTAGAGATTGACCACTTCTGAAGAAGATCCTCACATGTAATCTCAGCCGTGTGTGCCTCTCGGCTCGCGTCGTGGTTAACAGCTTCGCGAAGCTTGACAGTCTGGCCGACGCTGAAGATAGTGTAAAGCCTCTGGGCTGCAACGTCCTCCTGGACTACTAGGCGCCCGACCGAATACCCAGCCTTCTTGGCAATCCATGTCGGGCCCCTATGGTCGCTGAGCGTCGCCGTGCTGGATGCACCCGGCTTCGCTTTGGCAGCGGCTGCAGCGCCGCTCGAGACCGCATGCTTAGACCACTCGTCGAACTTTACCGTCTGACCCTTGAGGTCGCTGAGGCTGGCCAGAAATGAATTGCATAGGTCGCCCCACTTAAGCTCCTTGCCCTCCCGACCCATCTTCTCCTTACCTGTGAGCTTCAACGCAATCCTCACGAATAGCTGCCCTAATGGCTGCAACGCCGCATCGATGCCATCAAGCCCCCTGGCGATATTCATGGCTTCGCCAAGAATGCTTTCAGCAGTATTTGCTTCAGCCATCTTAGGCTTGCTAGCAACCTTCGTGACGTCATTCTTCACGAGCAAGCGCGCCACGCCGTCCTCAACCCTGTCGCCCGTGAGGTTTGCAATTGCAAGGGCCACCCGCATCAAAGGATACATGTTGGTTTTCGATGCGAAAGCTGTGTTCGTAATCGATTCCCAGAACCAACGTAGCGTAGCGACCAAATTGCTTTGCAACCGAGTCCATGAACGACACGAGAGGAGCGCCATCGCCACCGCCGAAATTCTCAACAAACTCAAGCAATGTCTTGCTGTACTTTGCGCTCGATATGTTGAGCGAAACTACGTTCTCGATAGCCGTGGCTTTCCAATCCGCAACCTGGCGCATCCCTGGGTCATTAGCAATCGCCGCCAACGTCATGCAGGTCTCCAGCTCCCCGACCTCCGTGCCGATGTGGTTCTGAGTGTTTAAAGCCTTCTGGGCCACTGAAGCGAAACCTGGGAACAGCTCGTCAATGATACTTGGGGCCACCTCCCACGCCCAGCCTTTCTCGATCATGGCTTTGAATTGCGCATTCTGGGACAACTTCTGCACGTCAATCGTATCTGAATCAGCCATCTGCAATGACTTCTTCGACGTCCTGCCCTGCACCCCTGCCAACTTGCAGAAAGCCGTGGCGTGTCCACACCCGACTGTAACGTACCGCTCGGAACCATTAACTGGCGCTAGAAGCCCAGCGGCTCTGTCCACCAGCACCTTGTTCTCAGCAACGTGCTGCCAACGGACGGGCGAATTGACTCCAAGCTCGATGCGCACGGCATTTGATAGCTGGCGCATGTCGGCACCAGCTGCATGGATCCGAGCAGCATTGCGATGCACATTGTGCGGGCTCAGAAGAAGCCCTCCACGGTTCGCACTGTGTGCGGGAAAAAATGTCGGCTCGATGCTGTTCACGGTGTACGGCAACTTGTTTGCCCGAAGGCAGGTCATCAGCATATCCGTATGCTCGTTCGCCTTCATCTTTTCCAAATTCAAAATATTCTGGAACTCCGTTTTGAAAGCTTCCATAAGCTGAGACATAGCTGAAGAAAGCTGCTGGAAGCTATCGCGGATGCTTTAGGCCGGAAATTCTGCAACTACGGATGGTAGAATGCAACTGCACAATCACAAAATATTTCTCGGAATCGTCGTGTCCAATGCTCATACCTCTTATCCACACCTCAATGTTGAACATCTGCTCTGCATGCTGATGTTGAGTCCTCCGAACTATCCCTGGGTAGAGCTCACCAAATTTTTCAGAGCTTGTTCACAGACAAATGGGTTCTGACATGTTCTTTGGATTCCCAACATGAGCTGGGTTTGCAAAGGGAACTATGTTTGGTTGGCAACGGGAGCTATGTTTGGCTCGACAAATTTCAACGTTTGGTTTGCAACGGGAGCTATGTTGAAACGTGGAGATATGTTCATGTTGGGCCTTTGAGAAAAACGAGGTCAACATTTGTCGGAACAAGTTGTTGTTTCATGTTAGCGTTTCTCTGAACATCGTGTTAGCCTATTCGAAAGTTTATGTTACTTTAACATATTTGTTTGAACTTCGAATTTTTCCAAAAGAAAACTATGTTAAACTAACAGAAGCAGTTATGTTAACATGAGATAAATGAGTTATCGCAGTTATCATCGTTACCCAACATAAACCATAAACTATTTAGCAACCGATAAACCTTTATACACCACATGTTGAATTAATAAAAACCATGCTGACTTTAGCTAACTATGATAAACCAGCTTACTAGCTACAGCAGTTTGTTGCTGATTTGTGAGAGGGTTGTATGAACGTTGTAACAACCTTAGCAACTCGCTATAAAGCTCATAAGCTTTAACAAAGCCGACATTCATCTCAGTAAGCCATTCGGGGCGCTTGTAACCCACTTATAAGCCAGGTTGGGCCAGATATAACCCACCTTAGCATCCACGCGTAACCCCCCTTATCCCCTTAGAACCCCCCACGGTCATCCCAGTAGGGAAAGGGGGGTACGAAATCTGCTGCATGCAGCTGGTTTCGGCCCCGCCGCCGGGCCCATTCATCGATACATGGGCGCCTCCGGCGCCGGGAGGCGCCAGGAAAATCAGCTATACGTGAGCTGATTCTCAACCCCCCCCTTTGCTATCCCGCCCTTTCGCCCAGCCCGAACCTCGGCCGCGCAGATGGGGGTGGGGGGAGCGGGGAGGACTTCTCAAAAGCACCCCTGCTTCTCAGAAGGCACGGGCCTTCGTCTGTAGATGCAAGGCCGGCGCCTTCCAAGAAGCAGCCTCCTTCTAAGAAGCCCGCCCCCTCCCTCCACCCCCTTGTGCTTACCACCAAAGGACTGCCCGAAGAAGTAAAAGACGCCACGAGCATAAACTTTTGGCGCTCCGCGCGGACTTCTTGGATCCGCGCTGGGTCCCCCCAGCGGCGCCTCCGGCGCCGCCCGGGTTCCGCGCGCCAGGGAGGGGGGGCGTCCAGCGCCGAGCCGAGAAATCCGCGCGGACCTGCGAGTTGTGGTGTTTGTGTCATGTCTCGTTCCCCCAGTCGCCCTCCTCTCGGGACGATCGAGATGGGTGCGGAAAGAAGGGGCACGAAGACCAGCAGCAACTCCTGCTCATCTTGAGCAGGACTCGCTGCCGGCGTCGCCGCGGCCCGTGTCCACGGAAGAGACAAAAGGCCGCCTGCCCAACAACGGCCGCTTGTCGGCGGGTTTTCGATACCATTTCTTGTTAGGCATTGTGCCCAATAGCACCGGTTGGCCGCTCCTCTCTGCACGCAGGCTCCGACTGGGCAGCCAGCAGGACGGCGCGCAGTGGACAGTGGACGTGTCGTGACCTCCACGCGGCCCGCTCGTGCTTCCGCGCGCGCGACAGCGGGTGCTAGAAGGAGGCCCTTTGCTTGAAAATTATTCGGACAATGATGAGGTCGTCAGAGGCTAGTGGCAGAGGTTGTGTGACAATATCTCAGGTGAGATGCTGCCGATACGGAGAGAGATCGGACAGCTCATGTTGCACCGCGAAGCTGCGGCCTCTGTTGTGGAGGTGTCGTCTCATGTCTAGGCTTCCGACAGCATGAGCAGCTCCCCATCCTGCCAGGGTGTCTGACGCTAGTCTTGCCTCGGGTAAGTTGGCCACGCACGCCTCAATGGAGGCTCGGACGTTTCAGGTGGACAGGTTCAAATGGCAGCGCGCAGCACAGCGGGCAAGTTTCGCTCGGAAGAGACTGCCAGGATCCACTCTCTCGGGTGGGTGCCCTCGTTGCCGCCCGCCGCGCTGCGGGGCCCAGTGCATTGGGTGGGTCCGCCGAGGTCGCGCCACGTTGCTGCCTGTGCCGACTCGACGGCGCTCGTGGGCGTCCCGTGCGTGCGCCGGGGTGGGTACGCCGAGTTTGCGCCGCGTTGTCGCCCGTGCCGCCTCGTGGGCGCTTGTGGGCGTTTGTGGGTGCCTTGTGCGCAGGGTTGGTCCGCCGAGGTCGGGACGCGTTGCCGCCCGTGCCGCCTCGTGGGCGCTCGTTGGCGCCCCGCGTGCTGAACTGACATGACATTGCTTACACCACATAGCTTACGCCTCATAGCTTGCACGACATTGCTTACCACACCCAGCTTGCACTGCGTAGTGTTAGATTCCAGCGGACGCCACATGCATTACACGACGTAGCTCACATCACGCAGATTGCACCGCATAGATGTTCAACCCCATAGCTCACACCACCTAGTTTACGCGACATACGCTTGGGAACGTGTGGATAGCTTGTCTCTCCGCCGATTCTGGCCCACCACGCCTCGGCGCGACATGCTATCCACTTCCCAATCCCCAGACTTCAACGTCCCGAGCCTTTCCGAACCGTGCGTCCCACGGAACGGAGCGACACGCTATCCATTGGAAGGCATACCGTGTCGCCGGGGACGCCGCCGCGACACCTTAAGCAGAACATCCCGACCGCTTTTAGCTGACACCGCCTAACTTACATCGCAGAAGTTCCACCTCCACTGCATTAGGCTTAGGTTACTTCACGCTGGCGCACGCGTGCTACCAGAGGTAAAGCATCGTGAAACAGTTACACGGGTAAAGGACAGCCCCGCCTCAACATCGGGCTCTCACCCGAGGTCTCGCCACAACCTCTGGCCAGGCGTGCAAGGCTGTGCGACAGCTACCCAGACCCAGACGTGCGACGTCATGACTTTTTCCATGCGCAGGCCCTGGAAGTCCCGACCCTTCCCCCGTGACCAGCCCCTCAAAGTCGTCTCCTGCCGGCCCCAGAGCCCGGCGAGGACCCCGAGGGGCCCAGAGCGGCCCTACAAACCTCCTCCCCTCCCGCCCGGACCTCCTCACGGCGCGGGCAGGTCTGGGCATACCCCTCCTCCCCCGCCTCTCCCGCCTGGCCCTCCCCCGCCTCCCCCGCCTCTCCCGCCTCCCCCGCCTCCCCCTTTCGACAACTTCACCATTCGAATGCTGGTCTCCTCTCTCCCCTTGAGGACGCCCGGACGATGTCCAGGGCCCTGCGCGTCTGGCTGTTACGCACGGGACTCCCGGCAGTTGGGCTCTCGCTTGGGTTTCTCCTTCTCTTCAGAACGTTGCTCACGCTGAAGCGCTGGCCTCCTCTTCGGGCTTCTGGTCGTTCCGCGTCGTGCGCCCGCTGCAGCGCTGGCCTCATCTTCGTGCTTCCGCTGCAGCGCTGGCACTATTAGTTCCAGTGCCACGGCAAGGCATGCAATGCAATGCTGTGTGGTGTTCCGCTGTACGATGCCATGCCTTCAGCTGCAATGCTAGAATATGCAGTGCTTGACTAGGCAGTGCCACACCATTCTATGCAATGCTACGTTTTGACCTTCAACGCCATGTTAGGCCATGTTCTGTCCGCTATGCGATACCATTCTTTTCGGTGCAATGCTTTGTGATACAATTCTTCGCTACGCAACGCCACGCCATGCTATGACATGCTCCTCTACGCCCTGCTCCGCCGTGCTCTACGATGCATCGCGCACCCTCTCGGTATCATTGCCCGACTCGACATCCGACTGTGCGAACAGAGGGAAGCTCCTACTTCATGGTAAGGGATGGGAGGGAGGGGTAGGACGTCAGATATGACGCGAGCCCGTCGAGGGCCCCGACAGGCTGAAAATTGCCAGAAACCTCCCGTCACGAATTTTCAGGGGCGCGAGCAGGTCTGGGTACCCCTCCTCCCCCGCCTCCCCCGTCCTGCCCCGCCTCCCCCGCCCCTCCCGCCTCCCCCTCCTGCCCCGCCTCCCCCGCCTCCCCCGCCTCTCCCGCCTCCCCCATCGTCTCCCTCCTCCCCCGCCTCCCCCTCCTCCCCCGCCTCCACCTCCTGCCAGGAGGAGGAGGCGGAGGAGGAGGAGGAGGAGGAGGAGGAGGAGGGGGAAGAGGAGGAGGATGAGGAGGAGGAGGAGGAGGAGGCGGGGGAGGAGGAGGAGGAGGAGGAGGAGGAGGAGGAGGAGGAGGGGAGAGGAGGAGAGGAGGATAGGAGGAGGAGGAGGGGAGGGGGAGGAGGAGGAGGATCCCCCCCCCCTCCTCCTCCCTCCTCCGCGAGGCCGGGGCTCCCTCCGCAGGGAGCGGCCGGCCCGTGGCCCGCAGCCCGTGGGGCCGCGCCCATGGGCTTCCCGCCCGGGCGGCAGGGCCGCCGCGCCCGCGGCGCCCGCGGCGCCGCGGAGCGGTGCCCGCACGACGACGACGACGACGACGACGACGACGAGGAGGTCGACGACGAAAACGACGACGACGACGACGACGACGACGACGACGACGACGACGGCGGCGGCGGCGGCGACGACGACGAGGACGACGACGAGGACGACGACGACGATGACGACGCGCCCCGATCCCCGACGAGGGCGGCGGACCCGGACCCGGGCATGCTCGCGTCGTGGTCCCGGACGTGCTCGCGCCGTGGAGCATTGCGGGCGGGAGGTTTTGCGCCGGGTTCGTTCCCTCGAGGGGGGCCCTGGCTGGGCCCCGGGAGCGTCAGAAAGCGATTCGCTGTGCCGACTCGTCTGCCCGCTGTGGCGAGCAGCGCCGTTGCGGCGCACAGCCGCAGAAGGCGCGAGGCAGCACCCCCTCGACCGCGGGAGGGCCGCTGCAGCGACGAGCACTACTTTTTTCTTTTTTTCTAGGCGTTCCCGACATGTCGGCCGAGGCTTCCGTGTCGGTCGGGGTGGCGGGGACGCCCCGCGTGGTCTAGTCCATCGCAGCCTCCCTTGAACGTTCAGAGGCTTTCTTCGCTCCCGTGTCGTCGTAAAAGAGCCGGTCCTGGGGAAAGGGTTGGGACTTCCAGGAACCACGCAATCATTGAAGCAGTCAGGGCGTCGCACGAGTGGGACAAGATCTGGACGGGAGGTTTTCGGTTGTTTTTTTCTGTTTCTGGGGTCTCTCGCCAAACCACGGGACCGACAAATAACGACTGGGGATGAAGAGCCGGCCCTGGGGAAAGGGTCGGGACTCCGGGGGGCCGCGCATTGAAAAACTCAAGACGTCGCATGTCCGCGGGGAGGAGAGGGCAGGAGGACTCGATGTCTGTACTGTGATGGATCATTGGTCGGCGACTCTGAAATACAAGCGTTTCTTGCATCTGGGCCGCACTTGGACCAGCTTTGGTCCTGGCTCCTGCTCCTCCCCGCCCGTCCTGCGCCTCCTCCACGTCCTCTTTTTTTTCTTCTCGCCACCCTTGCGAAGGGGCGGATCCAGTCCAACTCCAGTCCAGATCTTGTCCAGCATTGCCGAGGGCCGCGCAGGCTAACGTGGCACGAGTACGAGAGGAGGGAAACCCAGACGCACGCTCGCGCCGTGGACAAACCACGATGGCCAGGACATCCGATGCCCTGACTTCTTCTGTGCGGGGCCGCCCACGCGTCCCGACCCTTTCCCCATGGCCATATTTCGCCGCTCGAGCCTTTTCGTGGCGGTCCCAGGGCCCGGCGAGGGCTCCCAGAGGCCGAGGACGGCCCAGAGCTTTTGTCGCGTCGTCTCGGCGCCCCGGGAACCCTGGGAACGCCGGGAACGCTCTCGGCGAGGCGCAGTTGTTGGAACGCGTCCCGAGGCAGGGAAGCTTCCAGAAACCGACGAACACCGCAAATGACGCTGGCCTCGCTATTGGGATTTTTTTTCGCATTATGATTTTTATAACAATTAGCACTATCAATATATAGTGCCAGTCTTTTTGTTCGTAGTATTGTTATTGTTGTTGTTGCTGTGGCTATTGTTGTTCTTGACATTATGATTCGTGTTATCACCATAACCGGCACGAGCATTATTATTGCTATCTGTGTTGTTTTCGTAGTTTAAAACAGAACTTTGATTTCCAGTAGGAAGAGCCTGTTCCTGAATGTGCCGTCTGCCCCTGCGCACCGCCAGTCGTACATACCTCCAAGCCTGTTCGGGCACGGTTGCTGTGGTTATTGTGGCACTTGATATCATGATTCGTGCTATCACCATTACCAGTACGAGCATCATTATTGTTATTCTGGTTGCTTTCGTAGTCTAAGACATAAGTTGGATTTCTAGTAGGAAGAGCCTGTTCCTGAATGTGCCGTCTGCCCTTGCGCACCGCCAGCCATCATGGAGGATGACGATTAATAAATGACCGGGGGTCGTGTCCACGCGGCGGCGCCCGGGATGACGATTAGAAAAAACCGGCCGCGGGCTGGAAAACTATGTTTCAACTCGTTCTCCTCCAGTCAGAAAATTGTGCAGAAATAGCAGAAAACTATGGTTTAAAATCGTTTTCTTTCATTTCGCCATCCCGCATTACGCGCCTCCAGGCCTGCTCGGGCACGGCCCGGAGTGCATCTCGCCCTCCGCGGGCTCTCGGGCCCGCCCGCGGC